CCGTAGACGCGGAGAGGCCATATTTAATAGAAGTTCCTCCGCCGTGGTGGATATGCAAATTCTGTCGGATGCGCGGAATTTGCATCGCGACGCCCGGGAAAATAAATTGGCCGAGAATAAACGCGAGATGGCGGATCTGATGTTCGTTCCGCTTAATCTCGGCCGGGTTCGATTATTAAAATTCTAAGCTGGATAGAGATCTTCTCGAATCGATCTATAAATTCTACCGACGGAGATCTTCGTGGGAGCAAGGCAAAGCAGATAGAGAATCTGAACTTCTCAAACTACTCACAGTCGAACCTATATGTACGTATCTACGTACACGTATACATAGGAACCGGGAGAGAATACGGCGAGTCTACGAGGTTTAATATTTCACCATCGCAGGGGGGAGGAAGACCGGATCAATTGGCGAAACTGAAAGAAAAGCGAAGGATCGTGGAAGCGACGCCATACGGAATCGCGGAATCCAATTTAAATAATACTTGCCTTTCCTCGTTCCCCCTTCTTTCTCTCTCCCCACTCTTTTCTCCGGCGACTTCTGACGTTCTCCTCCCTTGGGAAAGCATCCGGCTGGATCCACGTCCGCTTTCTCCTTGCTCGCGTTCCACGATCATTCATCCCGGAGAAGCTTAAAAAATGATCCAACGAAGGAAATTTCGATCGCGGTATCACTCCGACCGACTCGCAGTCCTTTCGACTTCGTTTCGCTCTGGATTAAATTTTTCCCCATTGAATTCCGCTCGCGTCCGTTCGTCTCGAACGGATCCCGCCGTGCTTCCGTTTCCACGACGAACGCCCCTCACCTACCTTCTGATATCTGCCAATATCTCGCGCAGGAACCTCTGTCATCGCGTAGATCGCCTTTCGCTCCGGGCGAAAAAATACGCCGGAGACGTCTGTCGAAGACTTTGCCCTATTACTCGCGATAATAACGTTCGAGCGGAGTCGTTCGTAATTATCGAGGAAGCGCGGGATGGTTCGACGGTGGATACCTCTGTTCTTCGAGTGAACGGGGAAAAAATTGCAAACGATCGGTCACATTGTCGAATATCGTGGAAAATTTTCTGCCCTTCCAGCGAAAGAATTCTTCGCCAACTATTATCATCCACTGTTTCACCCGTTCGAATCTCCTTGTACAATTTTAATCCTCCGTCCACCGGTACGACGAGGAGATTATGGAAATCGTATCGGCTGGGAATAGTCGTGGTTGAGCGGACGATAGAATTCCAAGCACGATCCACACGCGGTTCGTTCGTACGCGCGATTATTTATCCGCCGCGATCAATCCACGGACGAGATTCACGCGACATGACGAATCACCCCGGTCATCTGTTTAAGCGATCCATCCGCGAGCCAGCCTTGGCGATTTTCTCTCTCGGCTCGTTGAAAAATTTACATCGTGATACAGTGGTACAGAACCGGTGAACTTCTATCAATCCATCGCAACGTTACGGATCTTTCGTTTCGAGTGGCTGACGTATAGACAGCAGATTCGTCGAGTTTCGATCGAGTTTACAGATTTGTCTGGCCTCGAGTGCAGTCGAAACGGCGGCGTTTACGCTTTAGCGGGGCGAAGGATCTGTCGCGCTCGATATTCCTTGCTAACGCCACGGCTGCATATAAATTGAAAACTTAAGGCGGGAATATAAGGATATTGTGAAAGATTGATCGGCCTGTTTTAGGGCGAATCCCCCGGGGAAATATATCGGGCCGCGTTTTTTTTTAATTCGCTGCGTGAGATACTCGGAAGGTTGATTGATTTAATCTTACAGCGGATGGGATTGGAAACGTTTAGATGTTCGTTTTAGTACCCAGAAATCGAGGGAAATCTTCTGGGATTCGTTGTATGATGGAAGAGAAATTCGTACCTGTTGTGTTTCGCCAATGCCTGACTTTTACTACTAGTTATTCTACGTAGAGAAGCGTCTGGTCGTCGTGTCTGACTTATCAGTGGTTTACTCTACTTAAAATCGACTTATAGGCGTTAGTAGCTACTTTTTTCGAGATTTCTTTTTTCGAATCGATCATGATCCTACAGAAACCGAGTTTGCTTTGCGCTTAGCCCCGTTTATAACCGTTACTTACAAAAATTTTATTTACCAAACAGAAAGTGCTACACTTGTTCTACAAATTTCTATCTATCATAGTGGTTCTACTTTAAACAAGAAACTCACGCGTAATCTTCTGCTTTAGGGTTGTTTCTTTTCACCCAGCAGAAGAATCTAACTCTCGATTATTCTTCAGCAGATGAACTAGGTTTGACCAAGGGGAACGTTCCAGCAGAAATTTTGTCAACAGCGCGAGTCAGAGTCGCTTCGTTCTTCAGCTTCGAGCTTAGCTCGCGTTTGAAATTCAGAAAAAGCTGCTGCACGACTGGTCGTCGTCGGTTGCGGTCTGTTCGTCGGAATAAAATTTCAGTTTACACGCGGGAACCTTTTGTCCCCGTCCTCTGTCCGTAATAGTGTCTGCGCCTTTGAAATTCCATCCGACAAACACGCGTCCAGCGATCCTCGAAAGTATGTCCGAATATACACATCTATTTCCCCTTTTCTCCCGTCTGTTTTTTGCTTCTTCTCGAAGAACCCGGGTTTTTCGTGGCACGCGAACAATTCGACGAATTCACAGTCAAAACGGGAATTTCCTTTTTCCACCGCGAATTTTCACAAGAAACCCTCGGACGTTCGCTGTTTGAGTTATTACGAGAAGCTCCGAAGGAACTTCTTGTCGTCTTTTCCATTCAGCGTATCAGCGACCGAGTTTCCCTGGCTGCTCGTTTTGTCGATACATCGCCCCGTCGTCGTCCTGTCTTTTTCTCGTTCGTGCGACTAGAACATTGGTCATCCGGCGAATAGAATCGCTGAATTGTACGAAATTCGTGGCGGAAACGGAGAGGAACCGCAAGAAGCAGCGAGACCTCGCATCTCTCTCTCTCTCTATCTTTGTGCGACGCTCTGCGGTGGTGTGGCCAGCCTTAAATTTGCTCGTATATCGTTACGCTTCCTCGTAACTATTGTCGTCGATAAAGTCGAAACTGTCGTTCGCCGTGCTGGAAACTGTCTCGACTTGGCGAACACCACTTGGTGAAATTGTCGCTGGATACAGGGGACGTTACGAGGCTGTTCCGAGTGTGGTGAATCACGGGGATCGTGGAACAAGGGGCTGGAGATTGAGGGTAGATGGTGATTACTAGGGATGGATAAGCAAGCTAGTGTGGAGATATATTAGCTTGTGAATTAGTGGTTAAACTGGGGAACAGATATTTAACGTGACGTCGAGTTGGACGTTTTCGGTGAACAGGCAGGATTTCATCGAACGTTTGACCGGCTGAATTTACATTCTTAAATGAACTTGCAAAATTGTGCAAATATACTGGATACGGATTGATTGCGTTGGAAGTGTATTTATCGATTGGCAGGCGTGTTTTCTCTGGTGATCAAAAATACCAGACTTTTGCTGATATTTTCGTTGGAAATACTGGAATTCTCTCCACAGAGAAAACTTATTATTTTCGACACTTTACGATCTTACTCGGAGAGAATTCCAGACTACAGTAACGTACAACGTCGTGAAGCAAGATTTCTCTATGACTTACCACCTCGTAACCCAGGATAAAAAGATTACCCCGTATAAGATACCCCTTTCTGTCGAATCACACACACACTCGACCGCGTGCAAATGTCCAAGAAAGTGGAGAGACTGAGAGGGAATTTTGCATAGCGGTCGACTTGGAAATCGCGGCCGGGGATGTTGCACTGAATCCTAATGGCGACCTGGAAAAAAGGGTCGCGTTGGTAGGCATCGAACGGCAGGATTCGCGAACGAAGGAGAGAAAGAGTCAACGTTTAAACTGTTCCGAGACGTTTGCTCTGCCGGTCACGGATGCTCCTCGACGTCGATTCCCCATTCGAGGTGAAACCTTGAAGCCTGCAACCTTCGTTCTTTCCTCGCCCTTCATTCATATGGACGGTCACGTTCCAATACGTCCTATCTGTATCGCATTTGTCACCCGGGGTGTTGGCTTCCCGGTGAGGATTGTCAAAAGACGATAATTCATCGACTTGCACAGAGGTTACTTGGTATCTGAATTATACAAGCTAAATAAAAGAAGAGAACTATATTGTGCGTAAGTTAATTGTCACCAGTAATCATACAAATTCTACACAAATCTGTGTAAATTAGAGAAGAATACTAGTCACCTTAAAGAGAAGGATAACTTTAACTAAGAAAAAGAAGAGAACTGGAGAAATAATGTAAATTAGAATGTTCCAAGAGAAGAGTAACTTCAGTTATCAATCTTAGTTATCTCGAAAAGAAGGATATCTTTAGCAACTCTTTCCTGGCGAGAATTATTTTCACTTATCAATTTTCCTTCTTGTGTTCAAGTGACGAAAGGGTTAAACCACATCGCGCATTAATCAAAATGCACCTTTCACATCTCACCTCTCCTCGATCGTTCAACTCTAAGTAGGTTAGGCTCCCTGTTTCCGACAGGATATCGGAATAACTCAGCGAAGAAGAAGTTTACAGGATGATAGTGGATTTTAATAACCGATTTCCTTAGCGATCGTCGGACATCTCGTTAACGAGACACTTCTGCCGCGGATCTCGCGACGATGCTTTAATTATACGATGTAAATTAGTCGTCGCGCGATCCCGAACCAGTCCCCTCCCTCCCGTTCTACGACTGTTAATTATGAATACATTTCGCCCGGTTGTAATTCACCGCGACCTCGCGTAATCGTACTCTTAGCCGAGCTCTTTGAAAGTTTAATACCGCGGTGGGGAAAATGGAAAAACCCGGTTTTATTACTCGGCCGTGATAATTCAGGGACGTGTTCGTTTAGGTGAGCTAAGCTGTTTGCCTTTAATATCCTCGGGGGCGGATGAAACTTTCTCCGCGTCGAACATGTAGGATGGGATGTTTTAACGTCGGAATAGAAGAGATTACGAGTATACTTCACGGTGTGCGTGTTGTGTATGTGTAATTTCAATTGCAGCGCCGGAGTTGACCATAACGGACGATTCCGGCCGAGTAGTGCCTAAAGAGAGGCACCTAAAGGCAGGAAGCGCTCTGAAGCTGAGATGCGAAGCCAGGGATGTTATCGAGTCTCTGAAGGAGTCTGTCATTTGGACCAGGGGAGACGAAACGCTCACTGAGGACGTCAGGTAAGCAATTAGCCCTTCCGCGAGGGAATTTGTTTTATCTACTGACAACAGATGCTTAACGCGTATGCTGGCAAGCGTCGCGTACGTGTAACGCCCCAATTTCCATGGTAGAACGCTATTTCGTAATACGATAAAAGTATAAAACCTTATGAAAAAATGAACCAAGAAAGATTCTTTTTCCGCAAAATTCAAGCAACCCAGTTCGAAGAAAAATATAGACGTTAAGAATGTAAATGAAAATAATTCGAAGGATAGGGAATAATTATTCGACTATTCAAGTGTCCCTACTTGGACTCTTATTTCAAACCTTCATTCCCATCGATCCTTTTTTAACAAAATTCGAGGAACCGAGTTAGAACTTTAATTCTCGCGGGCAACGAAGCGCGGAGCGCAAGACGGCCACACGACGAAGCCCGTTGTAGACCGAAAGCAATCTCGCGAAACGTCGTATCCCGCTTCGCCACTTGAAGTCCGACCTTAATGAAATTATCAGCCGTACGGCCCGGAAGCTAAGCGTAGAAACATCTTGAGACCATCTTAAGACCCGTATCTACGAAACGAGATCGCTTCTACCAGTTTCATCAGCCGCCCTCGTTCTACTTAGGCTCCTTCTTTCTCCTAACCAGAGGCATGAATGCAAAGCCTCAGCGTGTTGGTTACAGATTGGTGTTTCGTTTTCAGTGAGAACAGGACGATGGAGGTCCTAGCCGGCAAGGAGGTCCTCGTGATCGTGAGCACTCTGGTCGTGGAGAGGGCCACTCCCAGGCATGCTGGGAATTATAGCTGCGTGGTGCCAGGGAAGGTCAAGACCACCATCGCGGTTCACGTGTTGAACGGTGAGTCTTCCTTTTTTTGCATAATTTTTCGGATTTACTGTCTCGAGATTTCGGGTTTACCGTGCTTAACCCTTTCGTTACTATTGGCGCCTATAGGCGTTTAGGCCTATAGGCAATTCAATACTTAATTTTATCCTTTACGCACTTCTACTTTAATTTAACAGACCGAATTTTAATTCAACACCGCCAAAAAAACGGACTTTCCAGTCGCCCACGTTGCGCGTTGAAATCTGTCGTAGCGAAAGGGTTAAGGAAGATAAGCTAGGCTATCTTTGAATCGTTGTAACATGCTCCTGAGACCTCAAACGTGGATAATTCCTCACATCTTAGAGGAGGCTACGTAAGATTCTTCACCTTGTGTCCTCAGTCACCTTAAATAATTAAAGACGGTTGCTTAGCGTACTGCAGGAAGCGTTGAATTTTCGCAAAGTGAATATTCCTTCGTGTTTAAAGTTCTCCGCTCCGTGCAAGAAGCTTCGCAAAGCTCTCGGAACTCTTCGACTTTAAAAAATTCTTAGCTAAACATAAAACCATTTCGTATGCCTACAAACTACCTATACTGTAAATACGATAAGACAAAAAGTGTCGATATCGTAGAGCTTTCGAGCGAAAAAACGAGGCGGAACGAACGTCGACAATTTCCATCGAGTAGACGACAGTTTCCTGAAAGCAGGAACTAGCTGTTTAGACGAAACGCTGTTCCTTATCGAATAATGTTCTCCGCAGATGTACCGAAAACTCGTGAAACCAGGGTTGAAACGGCGGTATCGACGACGTGGGGGAAAGGGTTACGCGAGAACGTTCTCGCAACATTATCCTTTCAAGAAGGAGCAGTCTAGAGTCGGCGGAGGTAGTCACTGTGGATCGCGGTCGATTGAACCTATTCCAGGATGTTTAATCGCGCGTGTGCCTCCGATCCCGGGACAAGATAAAAGCTGAGGGGCCGCTCTGTCTTCCAGCTGGAAACGCGAATTTCGACGGAATCGCGACGCGATAGCATCGCCCCAGAGGCTCGTAAATCGACGGAGAAATTGTATCCCCGTAGGCATCGATGTCGATCTTTTGTCGATTTGTAATTTCATTTTTATCTTCGTCCTTTTATTCGCGACGGTGATAAAAATTCCTGAAATCCCCTTTCTTTTATTGCGGAATAATTATATTTCCGGCGAAAGCCTCTTTTTATTGGGGAATGTAGATAAGAAAAAGTCGTATGATTGAAGAAGAAACTGTAGATCTTCGAAGTGAACTTTGACGATTTTTGTGGAGAATTTGTGCACCATATTTCACCTCCACTGTGCATACCGATCAATAACAACAGTTTCACAATTTTTCGAAGCAAATCAAACAGATTCGAGCGACACTTAGCGCGGATAACGATCAATCAAAACCACTCTCCTCCCGAATGTTTTATTCAACGAAGAAAGATTTATTCCACAAAGAGTCAACAGTCTCGAGCTTCTCGGAAAATGAAGTCTCGGTTAAGCGATTAAAGAATATATCCTACACGATCAATTATTCTCCCCAGTTTGTTACCTTTCGCGAATTCGCCTTAATAGAAGGCAAAACCGTCGAAAAACCGATCAAGGTCCTCCGTTGGTACAGATAACCCGTGGCAATCGAGGTCTCGTTCGTCGGACTCGGCGAATCGCTGACTGGCCGCGAACAGTTTCGAAGAAATGGGACCAATAGGGGGATTTAAATCGGTGCTCGAATGAAAATTTACGCGGACGTGTATTAATTGCCGTGGAACGATCCTGCAGCGTCCTGGCGGAATTAACGGCATTGTCTTGGCGTGGTCGCGTGGAAAAATTCATTAACTTCGATCGCGCGATCGTATATTAAAACGGTGGAGAGGGCGACGAAAAAGATCAGCGGTTGAGAGCAGCGATTTATCACGTATCAAGTTCTTCCGCGACAATTGAACCGACGTTCTGATTGCATTTTGCCAGTTGTAAATTCTCTAAAAAGTGTGTATCGGAAGGAAGAGGATGATTCGTTCGTGAACGAGTGAACGACTGAGACTTTTTAGTCGCAATTTTCCTATCATTAGGAAACAAAGTAATCAATTAAAGAGAATACGAAGAAAAAGAGCAGTTGACGTAGAAAGCGTCTCGCAAAGATTCCGCGCGGAAGACTCGATGGTATAAGAAAAACGTGAAAAGAAAGGGCGGGAGCAAAGGGAGAGAAGTGACAATATGTTCTTCCACATCGACAGAAGTCACGTGAAGTTGAGCGCGCGGCGTTCCATCCGACATTGTAACGGTGCTCACGTTTTCAAGATGAAAAGAGCTGAAAGCCGCGCGGCGAAAGAGCGCTTTTTCGTCAGAAATCCTTCCGCTTTTAGGAGCGGAGAAGAAACGACCTGTCCCCGTTCGATTGTGCAAGATCGCAGACACAACAGACGTTTATGCTGTCCAAAGGGACAGCGTTCGCTCTTCTCCCCCTCTGTGAGCCGCTTTTTTCTTCCTCTTTTTTATTCGAGATTCCAGCGACCATGGAAAGAAGACAATTTCCTGTCACCACGATCCGATTCAAAGTGAGCTCTTAATAACTGACGTTCTCGTTGGAATTACAAATCGCTTCCGACTGGCGGAAAAAAAATGCCGCTATCCTGACGGCAACCAAAGGGTAAGGCAAGATTAATCTGCTCGTTAGAAGGGTAATCCGCGATCGAATTACCACGACCTTCTTTCCCTTTCGATCCCCGCCACGCCAACTCCATTCTCTTCCTGAGCTTTTTTCAAGGCAATCGATTCGAACGGATTCAACGTAATGATTTCCTTTTACTGCGAGGATTCCCCTCGCTTTTCTCCTGGGAATCGCTGTTAAAGGGAGGGGAGGCTGCTTTGTGCTTTATGATAATCAACTGGTCGTTCCTTCGTGGAAAATGTATTACGGTTAGACGGGACTCGATGGAATCGGAGTTTCAAGGTTCTGCTTGATAAAAGTAACCCCCGAAAAATCTAGCTACCAGATATTTCCCTCGGATGTACAGTACAGTAGAACAATTAAACGTTTCATTTGCCGAGCTGCCAGATTACAAACTCACCAAGCCACCTAGCTTCAATTCTGGCCGGACTTCAAACTCCACGATCCGACGTGCCAAAACTACTGTTCCACAAATAACAAATCTGCCGGATCTCGCAATCCCTTGGTCAAATATCCTCTTCAAACACGCTAATCCGCGTAGCCTAACAAAACAGGGATCCAACACGAGAGTATCATCCCTCCTGCTTCATTTCCAAAATCACAATCTAACAGGTAGAGAGAGAGAGAGAGAGGTGACATCTCCTACCTGAAGCGCATCGGAGAGTTCCGTTTAAAAGCTCGATCTTCTTCAGCGTAGAGACGAATCCTTTTGCACCGTAGAATAATCAAACTAAGCCTTCGCCACGAGTCGTTTACCCTTCCCTAGATCGCGTTCAACGAGCCTCCAACGTTTAGTCACGTCAACCTCTCTCACAGAGGCGACGCGATAATGCAGATTAACCAACGTCGAGGACGATTCAACGATGCAACGGTGACGGGGTAGCCTGGCCGTTAACGGAGCCGTCGCCGACGACGACGCGGGTTTCGTGGAAATGGAAATGCCGCTGGCCTAAATGCGACGACCAGCGTTTGGAAGCTGGTAGGAAGAAAAACGCGGAGAGAGAAAAGAGGACGTTATCGAGCTTGGCCACTTTTTTCCTCCATTTGCAAGCCTTATCCTCTGGCCAAGGTTCTTCAGGATCTTTGACTGTTCGTGACTGTGCAGCCTTCTAATGCTTCCTGACCCCGAAGCCCCGCCATAAGAACACCGCTCCACTCGGACGGGCATAATAAGGTGCTCGCCGAGGAAGATGGACGATCTGTTGGCACGTTAGATTCTTGACGGCGAGGCGTCTAACGGTTCTTCGAGCGTGGAAAAACATGGAGAAGCTGGAGCACCGGCAAATGAATTTTTATTGAGCCCATTGATGAAATGGGCGATGGGTGCAAGAAGTAAGGGATTTTTTGTGAAACGAGTTAGCCTGGGAAACTGAAATTGTGGAAAGGTGAATAAGAAGAAAGTTTATGATTTGAAGACCATGATTGATCGTTCCAAAGTCGTCGATATTTTTTCAGAAGTCGCACGAGCTTCTCACCGTGGAGAGTATCAGTAAGGAGCAACCGTATCCAAAATGCTGTGTTTAGAACAAAAATTGTGGAACTGAAAATTTAAATAAGTCAGAATGACTGAGAAGTTTATGATTCGAAGGCATGATTGATCCTTCCAGGGTCGTCGATATTTTTTAAGAAGTATGAATGCGGACCAACCTTGTCCGAAATGCTGTTTCTAGAAGACTGCATGATCTCTAAAATGAATTTACACTGCTTGTAAGTGTAACGAGCTCTGACGAGCCTCTGAGAGACTCGAAGATTGCTAACTTTGAAGCACACTTGCGTCTTCAAATTCAGTATCAGTTTTCATCAAGTATTCCTTCAACGAAGTACAATTATACCTGCTTGTAATTCTGCCAGAGGTGTTTACGCACCATTAATCAACCTCCAGCAGGGAGTCTTTGTTAATTTTACAGCCGTTTTACCGGTGCCTTTCAAGTACCTTTCGCCGCAGGAGAAGGTGAACATTCTCGTCGGTGAAACACAATGGAAACGAGACGCCGAGGAAGGAACACCCGATGAATAACCGTGCATCATCTTAACGACTGCTCGACTTTGCTAAGTTGTGTACAAGTAACCGACTGTACGAGACAATGGCGGCACGGTTTAGACGTGTCTATAATTTGCCGGATGTCAAACGCCGTAGCCTCGTAATTGCTCAAAGCTGCCAAGATAATTTCTGCAATTAGAGAATTAGACCAACTCCAGAAAGACAGAAAATTGATCGTTCGTCCGCGAAACAGGGATCCTTCAGTTCTGCACCAAGTTTCACCCCGAGCAGCGTCTTTCACGGTATCGCTGTTCACTGGGTCGATTATTCGAGCTATCTCGTCTTTCGATCGATGAGTATTCGTAAATTT